TCTGCCTGTTCTGCTCCCCTCTCTCTCTGGTGAATCCTCTCACCCTCCGCATCTCTGGCCTGTACCCCAGTTCTGTATGAATAAATAAATCTTAAGAAAGAAAAGGAATCTGTATTTTCCTAATAATCAGGGGTCAAACATACCCTACAGTGTAACAATAGCTAGAAGTTACAGAAATTCAGACTTTTTTCTATGAATAAAAATTTTTTTTAAAGATTTACTTATTTATTCATACAGAACTGGGGTACAGGCCAGAGATGCGGAGGGTGAGAGGATTCACCAGAGACAGAGTGGGAGCAGAATAGGCAGATCAACGAAGTCCACTGCTGAGGGGAGCAGCGGGCGGGTCAGGAGAGGTCTGCCACGCCATGTGGTCACCTCCAGGGCAGGCGGGGATCGAACTCATGAGGAAGTGGCTTTAGCTTCTCAGTGCAGTGCTTTAACCCGCTGCGCCACCAGGGAGGGCCCAATGAATAAAATTTTTTAAATAAAAAGATTTTTTTTAATAAAAATAAAATTTCAGACAACTATTTTAGTTCCTCATTTATTTTTGGTTCTTGACTATTTTACTAAGTAGGTAAAGGACACTGAGATAGGTAAATAGCAAATCAATTATTATCAAAAATGGGAAAACATTCTGACACACATATTACTACAAATTTTTACTTTGCTTTGGTAAATGTACTCTTAATTCGTTAGTAAATAATTTAAACACTCAAAACTTTAGTGGAATACATCAAATTTGCTAATATAGAAAGAATAATTGCTTTAGTTATAGGGATTTTCTCAAATAGGTAAACATTTATAGCATACTAATTTATGACAGAGTAAAGAAGATATTTGTTATACAAAGAAGGAACTGTAATTTTTTTTTGGAACTGTAATTTTTTAATTGGAAATTTTCACTATTCTCTCCACAGGTATTTACTACATGCAACTCACTATTTATTTAGTCTGCCATTTAACAAAACTATTCTATAGTCATATTTAACTACACATTTGCATCATTCATTTGGCTAGAAAGATACTAGCCTATTAAGAAATCAACTGTAACCAAGCCCTTTTTCTTATACTAATGACCTTCAAAATAATTTATAAGCTTTTTTAAACCAGTATATTAGGACATCAGTAGACTGCCTTGATTCACTGAAATTCACATTCAAGATTTTTCACCTCTTGGCCAGTGCCAAGTGAGTATGAATTCAAAGAATACATATTATTCATCTTAACAGAAAGAAATAAAATACCCTACTACTAAACAGAATTTTATATAAAATCACCCAAGAAAGGCATTCTAAAACTATTAACTATTAGCTTCCATTTTACAACATATGAAAACTTTATCATGAAAGTATGGACTTCAAACTAGAAATTCATTACATCTGTAAATTCAACAATCTTTTTGTTATATTTGTAAAAGTTGCTAAAGCAAACCTTCTACATAAATAGATGTTCTCTCTTGAGACAGTGGATTTGAATCCTGGGTCAAATCAAATAGTAAGTCTGAAGAATCGTCTGATCCAACTTGTGATGAATTCTTTGTAAAATCCTGTAAAAAGTTGTAATTATTTTGTTTCATGTACTTTTATAAAGGTAAATTTAACTGTATGTATTATCAAGATAACCTTAATAATAATCTTAATAATTCAATTACTCAAAGTTTTTATAACTTTATAACACAAAGATAATTACTACTGTCAAAGTTAGCATTCACTGGGTTAGGGGTACACAGGAACACTGTATTATTTTGTAATGATTCCGGAAATCTAAAGTTAGCTTGAAATAAAAAATGACATTATTGGCAAAGTAGGTTATGGTTTGGCACAACATTTTGGTGATGAAATTTAGGCAGCATCTTTCAAGGACTTTAAAAGTTCACATCCCTTGAGTCAGTTATTTCCACATTCCACTTCTAAGAATCTAAATTAGGAGGTAACAATATTTAATGGAGACTTGCTTATAAGACAGTCTTGATTAATATTTTCTATATTTGCACTTAAAAATAAAAATCACTAATAATTACCCAAATAGTTCTTTTTTTAACAGAAAAGCTTCCAAATAACATTAATAGGTGATAACTCTATCAACTAAGTAACATTTCAGAGAGCAGACATATTACTAAATAACTTCTTAAAGTAATTCTCCAATTGGGAATTTTTTATATCTGTAAAATATTTCAGCAGATATTAAATACAATGGCAAGATACAATTTTACCCTCATTGCTTTTATATCACCAAGGCAAATGTTGACAGAATGAAAGGGCAAATGTTTTAGTGTTGTTATGACAGTTTTAACACCCTATACTGCTGAAAGCATCTTAGTGAAGCCCACAGGTCTTTTGCTTGAAGGCAAAAGTATATACCAAGGGCCTCCCTGGTGGCTTAAGATGCTAAAATTTCAGCATTATGAAGCTACCCACAGCCACTGCAGCATGAGTTCGCTCCTTGGCCAGGGAGCTGACCCACGAGGTGCAGTGACTTCTCCTATCTCACGCGTTGTTCCCCTCAGCAGTGTATTTCAGTACATCTGCCTGTTGTGCTCCCAACTCTATCTCTGGTGAATCCACTCACCCTCACATCTTTGGCCTATACCCCAGCTCTTATATGCATAAATAAAATAAATATTTTTTTAAAAAAACACTATATACTGAGCTGTATGAATGGTGTTATGTATATATTTTTAATATTCTAGGCCAACAGGATTTAAATATCAGATCCATCATTCACAAGCTGAGTGGCAGTGAGTTAGCTTGTCTGAGCATCAGTTTTCTTAACTATATAATGGAGATAATAATCATGTCTACCTTATAGGGAGGTTATAAGAATAAATCAGATTAATTTATATGCAGCATTTAACACAAAGACTTATCCATATTAATGGACTAAGAGGGGTTAGGTTAGCTAATGCCATTATTATTTCTGTTCAGTTTACAAAACTAAATGATGAAGGTATGTTTTCAGAATACACAGCAGCAAATAACCTCAATTAAGAAAACCTGATTCAGTTTACCATCTTAATTTTTTTGCCATTATGCAGTACTCATATTTTCTTTACATTTAGATGGCACAATTTTCAATATTATAACTCTTTCAGCATGTATTTATTCACATGTTGAATAGTAAGTTATTACAGCTATTATTTTGAGTACTAGTTGAACTATCATAAAGATTGTGACATCTTCTGATAGTGATTGTTTCTACTGGCATGGTGACTAGCTATGACAGGCCACAATCCTAACCGAATTGTAATACCTGATGGTACCTGAGGTGACTGTAGTTTTAGAAACACTTACAGGTTTAGACATGTTATGGACAATAACAGAGCTATGTGAAGATTTGGATTCAGGACGAAATTTAGGCAATGCAGTCACTGTATTTGATGCTGAGTCTTTGTTGTGTTGATTTGCAGTCTTCATCGCATCAGTAGGACCTGTATTTTAAAATCACATAATATATTGAATATATTTCTATACAACAAACTTTGTCAAAGTATTATACTTTAAAATTAAAATAGTATAATAAGCTGTACCTTGGTTGGCTGTCTCCTTTTTTATTCCCTTCGAAGATGAACTGGGGTGACCTCTGTTCAATATGTCTACAAAAATCGTATTTTAAAATAGTCAGTGAAACAGGTATTATAATAATTAAAAAAAACCTCCTAAAATATATCTGTATAAAACCAATAATTGAAATATATTTTTTCTCTTAATGATGACAACTCAAGCAAGTTGACTGGTTTATCTGCATTGCTATTCTTGAGTTCTGAAAGGGATATTAACAGAGATTACAGACTAAATTAAACCTATAACTTACCACAGTATCTCAAATACTTTTGCATAAAATTACTAATCAGGAAAAGATACATTAAAAACCCACCAAGGAGGTTCCTCAAACTGCTAAACATGGAGATTCCTTATGACCCAGTAGACCCACTCCTAGGTATCTACCCAAAAGATACAAAAACACTGACTCAAAAAGATACCTGCACCCCCATGTTTGCTGATGCTTTATTTACAACTGGAAAGACATGGAAACAGCCTAAATGCCCAAAAGTGGATGACTGGATTAAAAAGATGTGTTACATACACACAATGGAATATTACTTAGCAACCAAAAAAAATAAACAAATGCCTTTTGCAGCAACATGAATGGAGCTGGAAAAGATCATGGTTAATGAAATAATCCAGAAAAAAAAAAAGGCAAAATACCAGATGATTTTGCTCATAGCAGGAATATAACGGACCAGGTGAGAAAATGGTAATAATAATGAACAACTATATACCAGAGACATTTTGTGGGAGTTGAGTGGGGGGAATGGGATCAAAAACAGTGAGGGGAGGGAAATGCACTGGACTATAGTGATGGCACATGGGTGATTCCGTGATGGGAAGCCCAAGGGGATTACAACTGAGATGGATAAATGCACAAAATGATGTAAAAACAAACTATTATATTATTAAAAAAACAAACAAACCCACCAAGCGCCTCCCTAGTAGTGTAAAGATTAAGTCTCAGTGCTATCACCACCACAACCTGAGTTTCATCCCAGCCAGGGAGGTGACCCACATGGCACAGCAGACCTCTCCTGTCTTGCCCACTGCTCCCCTCAACTCTGTATTTTAATCAATCTGCCTGTTTTGTTCCCCCCTCTGTCTCTGGTGAATCCTCTCACCCTCTAACACCTTTGGCCTATACCCCAGTTCTTCTATGCATAAATAAATATTTTTTAAAAATCCACAGAAACCTAGAAATATTTCCTTGTTTTTCTTCCTACGAGCTCATAAAAAGTCACACAGAAGGGTTGTCTTTATAGTGAAAATGCAGTGCTAAATACTACAGGACTCTTACAGGAGAAAAATCTACTCAAATAACCTGGCATGTTTTTGATTAAAAAATTCAAGATAGGTATTTACTGGAACCATTAAAGATTTATTTCTATAGTACTTTTTCGTGACTATAACTTCTAATTTTTTAAAAAAAGATTTATTTATGAACACAAGAGCTGGGGTAAAGGCCATAACAGAGTCAGGATTCACCAGAGACAGAGTGGGAAGCAGAACAAGCAGACTGATTGAGCTACACTACTGAGGGGAGCAGTGGGCAAGACAGGAGAGATCTGCTGTGCCATGTGGGTTACCATCCTGGTTAGGGATTGAACCAACCGGCCATTGTGTTAAAGTGGCTGTGGATAGCTTCATAGTGCTGAGACAACCCCTTGTGCCACCAGGGAGGCCTGACTATAGCTTTTCAACAACAAGTTTCTTTTTTTTATTATAATAGTTTATTTTCACATCATTTTGTGCCTTTTTCCATCTCAGTTGTAATCCCCATGGACTTACCATTGCCAATTCACCTGTCAAACACAAGTTTTTACTCACTCCTACTTCCCTTCTTGTGGCTCTATTTAAATATTTAGTTCCTATTACATATGCTAAAATATTTTATGGCTCACACATAAAACTTTATAATATCATTTAAATTCTGAGTTAATTTAGTAAAGAAATCCCACGGTGGTCAATTTACATACTGAGAGTCATTTAAAACTAATGCATTGTTCTAGATAAGTACTGTTAAGTTGGCTATAATTGATATACATCCCTTTGAACTATCATGCTTTCAAATAAGATTTAAATAATAATTTTGAAATATGTTGTTTCAGCACAAAAATCAGTGATTAAGACACGATAATTAAGAAAATGTAATGTTCTGTTCTACTTTCAGCAACATGTCAATATGCATACTTCATTTTATAATTGAAGTGTTTTTCTATTTAGCATCTCTCAATTTGCTGTAGGAAATTATGAGAATTGAATTATGCCATGTTATCCCTCACCTCCAAATTCTTACAGAACAACAAAAACGTATTATTTCAGACATTTTTCCATTAGAAACAACATCTTATAAAACATCACTGAAAGTAAATGATTACTTGAAATGGCTGGTTTTGAACTTGATATCTCTCCAACAAAGATCAGCTCATCATCTTCTTCATCCTGAATTTCCTCTACTTTCTTCTGCCATGGTTCCAGCTCTTCTTCTTCACATTCCATGAAGAGTTCTGCCATTTTTGAATTACCTAATTACCAAGTTAGGAGGAAAACAAATCTTATTTTTAAGTTTTGTTAGTATACAATTTGATTTTTGAGATATACCTTAATAATCCTAGTAGTAATTACTGAATTGATACTTGTAATCATTGCATGGTAACAAAAGGGGAAAACTCAGAATTCATTACCTAAGATCTTAACTAGTAAAATTAGCTTAGTAGGAGATAACAGATGATAAAAGTCATTTACAGTGGCTAATACATTTTGGGAACAAGCAGATCTAATCAAACTGAGTTTTAGTTTCATGACTAGAGTATGATTGCAGAGACAAAAAAAGAAAAATTGTACCTAAAATCTGAAAAAAAAACCCAAAATACAAATACCTTTATTAACAAAAAGGAAAGAAGCTAAGAGGAAACAAGTGATAGATACACTAGAAAAACTGTACCAAATTGTGGGATAAGAAGAACTAAACAAAGCAGGGATGAAAGTGCTACAATGAAAACAGGAATTATATTAAGTTCATTAAATTCAAGTGCTGATAGTTTATTTCTCACCTGAAGAAATAAGCAAAGAACATATGGGGAATACCACCAGCCTACAAATGCTGGCCAAGCACAAAGCTCCTAGGAAGCATTTTAGTGTTTCATTCTTAAATATGGACTAACAAGCAATGTGCACCAGAAATAAGACTAAAACTTGCCATGTGAAAGACCAAAGTGATATAATAGATTAGAAGCACTTTTAGAGAGAGAAGACTTTTATAAACAGTAGCAGTAAGAAAACAAAAAGATTAAAAAATTAGCCAAAATTCAGTTTAAAAAAGTCAAATGTCAATGGTGAGTAAATGTCTCATAACAAAACTTAAAGAAAAACATTAAAGACAAGATTGTTAGAAAATCAATTGCAAAAAGGTGATACAGAAAAGGGAGAGGGGATGTGATCAAAGGAAAAGTGCAAGAAAAGTTTCTGGTTCTACAAGACATAAATCTCCAGAATGAAAAGACACACCAGCACCCAGAACATAGGAAAAAACTCACAGTAGAGGAGCATATCATGAAATTTCAGAATGCTGAAGGGCAAGAGAATATCTTCAAATCAGAGAGAGGGGAGAGAGAGCAAGAGATCAAAGCTAAGTGTTAGTAAAAATAAATTTCAACTTAGCGCTCTACACTCGGCCAAAGTTTTCATCAAGCATAAGGTATATATTCTTTCATCAAGAATAAAGACCAGCAATATTATAGAAAATTTACTTCCCATTCACCCTTTCCTAGGAAGAATCCACCAAAATATTAAGAATTTGAGGAGGACACAGGATGCAGAAAACATAATATTCAACATAATACAAAGACAAAGGAAAATCCCAGGGCAATAGCTGTTCAATAGATCTAGAGAACACCAGTCAGAGTAGAGCAAGATAATATTACCCCCAGGAGGAATGTCTCCAGGAGACTTTTTATAAAAATCTTTCTTTTTTTGTATCTCTCCCCCTCACACACACACAGATTAAAAATTAAATTGTTAAATTCTTGACAAGTTGTACCATGTAGAAAACCAAGAGACTACAGAACATTGTAAAAAGACTTAGCTGTGAATTTCAATAAAAAAGCAAATTTTTTAAAATGAAAATTTTAAATTGCTACACAAAAAGGAAAGTGATTCATAACATATTAATAATATAGTAATATGCTAATCAGTAAACAATATTATTTATGGTCATCCAAATAAAAACAGCAAATATGATTTAAATATGATTTAAATATGATTTAAAAATTGAATTATAACTACATCAGGAGATGTTTACAGAGAGGATAAATATCTTCCTCTTCTTTAATAAAAAGTTCATTAAAATTGATGAGTCAAGACACAGCAGTATGTATGAGTTTTAAAATTCAGTGTGTATGGAAGTAATTATCAGGAAAACAGTTAAACTAATTGGAAGTGAGTACCCTAAAAAAAACAGGTAGTATGAAAGCCGAGAACACATGCACATCCGTTCTCTCTCTTATTTTTCAAGGAATGGTGGTTATGTAACTTAAAGTCTGTTCATATTATCTGTCATTATACATCTTTTAAATGCAGTACTTTCTAAAGGTAAATTAGACTATTAAATAATGTCATTTCCATTTTTTACTCAAAATTTAAAAATACTATGTGTGAAAACATTCCCATGCCACGTGGGCATGGCATACAAAATAAACATATTGACAAAACAGTGTCATTCTTTTAATTTCACCAGGTATGCCACATAGTTTCTTGGCACAATGCTGTTCAATCAACTCACAACAAAACAGAACAAAAGACCTTCCCACACTCCCAAATGTAACCAATTTTATGAATTCTTTCTTGTGCTATGCCTTTTAAATATATACTCTAAATCAATTCAAAGTGCAACTTATAGATTAGCATTTGCATATTCTGCATACTTAAAATCATTACTCTCAATGTGTCATTATGAGCCTTCATTTGCACTGTTTCATCTAATATACTTCTGCCTTATCTTATACTGTTCACATTTGAGTAGAGTAAAAAGAATATGAACTTGACATCAAATTGAACGGCTTAAATCTTCATTGCACTATTTCCAATCATGCAACTCTGAGAAATTAATCTTTTCTTCACCTTTAATATGGGTAAGCAATCTAACTAATAGAAGTGATAATGTAGATTTAGGAACATGTCATATAATATGCCCATCTTCGAGTGGATACTCAACAAAATACCAATTCCCTGACTCTTCCCATTGCAAAGTTTGACTATAATTTCCTCAATAAAACATTACTGTTTTTCTTCCATCTCTTGGTTATTTACATTGATAGTCTATTCCATGCAACTAAAGATGTACTATATATTAACTCAAACTGTCCACAAGCTCTTAATGTGGCTTAATTGTACATGTCTAACTTCAAAGCAAGTTCCTCAAGAATGAACCACAGGTATTCTTTATACTTTTATATTTTCTTCTACACACAGCAGTCTACCAGATGCAGTAGGCACCTAAAACATGATAACCTGAGAGCTAAAAAACACACATAGTCAAATTCATAAAATGAGGAAAACACTGGTAATTTAAATAAACCACTTTTATCTATGTTGGTAACATGATCTTAATACCACATGGTCATATAAGGTCTTCCTCATTCTTTGTAACTGGGTACTGCCACTGTCAATATATATTCAAGATAGAGTGCTGAACAGAAAAATTTTGAAGGCACATAACAGCACATATTTAGAAATTATTTATTTTTCATCTACGCATGAAATAATCATGTATAACATAATCACAAACCAATTAATAGTTGCTATCTCTGGATATGAGGAAGAAATACTTCATTTCTACATTACCAACATTTTTACTCTAAACTGTTCTTTTACTTTAATAAACTTTAAGTATCTTTGTTTAGGAAAAATATGTCCACCTATCTTTTACCTCTTCTCATAAAGTGAGGTGATCAGTACAAAAGCCATGCATGATACCAACTGCAGTGATACTTACTTTTAGGTTGAAAGGAGCTGTTGTTGTCCATCAAGTTGCAGAATCACCTAAATACCAACATATGACATCAATAATTTTTATGAGTCATTTTAAGTATCCTAAATATTGAAACATCAAACTTGGGATTCAGAAATCTTTGGGTTTAATTTCAATCTCCAGCAAACTTACCATGTGACTTCAGACAAGGTAGCAAATTAGGTCTTAGTTTTCTGCCCTATAAAATAAAGTTATCTACCATTAGGGCTTATTTGTTAAATGTACACCCAAAAAGATTTACACTTTTAGAGATTTATTTAAAATTTGTACAGAGTTGGGGTACAAGCCAGAGGTGCAGGGGTGGTGAGAGGATTCACCAGAGTGTCGGGAGCCAAACAGGCTGACTGACAAAGTACACTGCTGAGGGGAGCAGCAGGTAGGTAATGAGATGCTTGCTGTGCCATGTGGATCACCTCCCTGGCGAGGGTCAAACTCATGTTGCAGTGGCTTTAGCTTCTTAGTGCTGTGCTTTATTTAACCTGCTGTGCCACCAGGGAGGGCCCAAGATTTACACTTTTTGTCCTACAGAAGGTTACCTCTTGAGTTTGATATACACATGCAACTCATTTTCTGTAACTGGTTACTCCTGAATGAATGCAAATTGAGTATATAGAATGCTGAGTGCATTAAACAGTTATTACTTGACGTTGATGAATTATTAAATCACAAATAATTTTAAAAAGGTATCCTTTTGTAAAATGAATAATCACTTTCTGTAGTGTATTTTAGAAAACCTGAATTTTGGCCCTCCCTGGTGGCTCAGCGGGTTAAAGCACAGCACTGAGAATCTAAGTTTCCGCATGAGTTCGATTCCCGCCTGCCCTGGAGGTGATCACATGGCGTGGCAGATCTCTCCTGACCCACCCGCTGCTCCCCTCAGCAGTGTACTTCGTAGATCTGCCTGTTCTGCTCCACACTCTTGTCTCTAGTGAAGCCTCTCACCACCCCTGAGCCTCTGGCCTGTACCCCAGTTCTGTATGCACAAATAAATAAATCTTTAAAAAAAAAAAAAGAAAACCTGAATTTTGAAATGCTAAGTGACATTGGTTTTTAACTTTTATTCTTCACATTTCAAAAATAAATGTAATTATTATAAGAAAACACATTTACAGAGATTTTTAGGTTATTATTTTTTTGCTTATCAATGTTAACCACAGAACAGAAAATTAGGTAAATTTCATTGTAGATTAATTTATTAAAATATAACTAGTCATTGCTTCCTGGAATCAAAATAATGTGCTCTGTCCCAGGGAAGAGATAAGCTAAATAAGTCATAGCTTTGCCCTCAAAAGTTTATAATTTAAGATATACACTTTTTTTTTTGAAATATCAGCTACAGTAAGCATTATCAAGTAAACATGTGAATTGCTTTCTTTAAAACAGGTTATTTGTATTATGGATTCTCATACATGACTCTTCTTTTTATATACAAAATAAATTAAAAAAATATTTCAGCCTTTAAGTGAAAAAAGTGAAAAATGAGATATCAGAAATCTAAAATACTAGGATAAACAGAGTTAACTGAGTCTTCATATGTATTTTTATCCTCATCTTGTCAAATAGCTTTTCTACTTTTTCCAATTCAGAATTTTTTAATTGAATTAGATGATAGAGACAAAAAGTACTTTAATCCCAGAAGAAGTTAGATTCTCTAAGCGAATTCTGTACTTAAGTAATTTTCCTAAGTTCTAAGGTTTGACTATTCAACTCTAACTCAATTATCTGCATAGTTATTGTATGTCCCTAAGCTATAATTAAGGAAATCATATGTCAAGTATATAAATACATGACAATTTTTGCTTAACATTAAGGACCTGTTGTTACTAACAACAAAGAATATTTTTTAAGAGTACATTGGTATACTGTGAGACTTCTACATAACCCATCTATGTACATAGTTCTACATCGTCTATTGAGACTTATGTAGAACACTTCTAATAAATGACCCTCTAAAATCTCTATTGGCACAAATATCCTAAAATTAGTATTTACTGCATCAGTAGTCTATATAAACAACTCACATCCACTGCCCAAGAGGCCTATAGCAATTACCAAGGAGCCTCAATTGGCAACTTTATAAATACTAAAAACTAGGTGGAAGTCTTTTGATGCCACAACTGTGCTCGCTAAAGCTGTGCTAGACAATAACGTAGTTACGTTCCCCAAAATTATCACTACAAAAATACTCTCATCATTTCAGAATTTTAGTGGCAACACAAGGAATGCTATGGGAGATTAAGACACCTGTTAGAGAAAAAGAATCTCCAGCAAAACTTGCAGTGAGGATCTTAGAGGTCCCATAAGGGCAACTCCAGAGAGTCTATGCCTTCTGTACCATACTGGCAGAAGAGGAAAGAACTCTCTAACTTTTGTCAGGCAGAGATACTATGCCTATGTTTATGCTGCTCCTTTGAAGGAAAACATAAATTCTAAGTAACCCACTAATAAAAAGAGCTTTTAGAACACAACTCATTCAGCATTTGGAGACTGGCTATGTAAATATAATTACTATTTAAATATTTTTTGGTTTCAGCTTTTATATATCTACAATCCAACTTTCATTCTACCAAAAACAAAAACAAAAATCGGATATCCTATCATGCCCACTAGGATGATTGTATTAAATAAGATTAACAATAACAGTGTTGGCAAGGATATGGAGAAATTGGAACCCTTGTAGTATACTGGTGGGAATATGATATGGTGCAGACATTGTGGAAAATAATTGGGCAGGTTCTCATAGAGTTAAACATAGTTACCATGTGATCCAGCAATTCCACTCTTAGTAAAAGATCACTGAAAATATATGTCCACACAAACACTTGTACATGAATATTGTAGTGGTTGCTCAGGGCTGAGAGGGTTGGGGGGAATGGGAAATTCCTTCTAATGTGTATGGATTCTTTTTAGTAGGTAATGAAGATATTTAAAAAATGTGGTAAGTGGACCCTCCCTGGTGGCTCAGCATGTTAAAGCACAGCACTGAGAAGCTAAAGCCACTTCCACATGAGTTCAATCACCACCTGCCCCGGAGGTGACCACATGGCATGGCAGACCTCTCCTGATCCGCCCGCTGCTCCCCTCAGCAGTGTACTTCGTAGATCTGCCTGTTCTGCTCCCCATTCTGTCTGTGGTGAAGCCTTTCACCACCCCTGAGACTCTGGCCTGTACCCCAGTTCTGTATGTACAAATAAAATAAATCTTTAAAAAAAATGTGGTAAGCATTGTACAACTCTGTGAATATATAAACTACTGAGTTTTGTACATCAAATGGTTCAATTATATGTTGTATTAATTGTATCTTAATAACATTTTTAAGAAAATAATAAGCTGAAGACCTCCCTAGTGGCACAGGGGTTAAAGTCTCAGTGCTGTCAAGCTATCACCAGCCACTGCACCCTGAGCCAGGGAGCTGACCCACATGGCACTGCAGACCTCTCCTGTCTTACCTCTACTACCCTCAGCAGTATATTTCAGTATATCTGCCTGTCCTGCTCCCCACTCTGTCTCTGGTGAACCCCCCAAGTCCCTGCACCTCTGGCCTAAACTCCAGTCCTTGTGTACAAATAACTAAGTCTTTTTGAAAGAAAATAATAAAGTGATGGGGTATAAGCCTGGAGGATAGAGTAAGCTCTGTGTAGAAAGTACTTAAGAAAAGAGTCAGCAAAGGTAGCAAAGTCATAATATTCTGGGTTAGAAAGACAGAAAGGGTAGAGTACAAAGACATTCACATTCTGATGATACCATGTAAACACCTGAAGCTAGTTGTGCTTGCAGCAAATTCATTACTAAGACATTTCAGTTATGAGAGGAAACAGTTGCTCACTTCTGTTTAAATCTACTTTGAGTTTGGTTTTTGGTACTTGTGTTCAAGAGTAATGATACACTCACATTTTTCAAACTAACAGACCTCTAGGGAAAATCAATATATTCCAGATGGTGCAAGAGAGTTCTAAAGCAATACAATTTTGTATTTTAGTTTTGCTATACTTAAGAATCATCTAGATTCTCATTAGTTACCTTGTAACTAAGTTCAGTCACATGTTTTTTAGTTGTAATTCACACTTAACATTAGTTTCAGGTGTACAATGTAACAATTTGATATGTATATACTTGGTATCAAATATATATACATATATCTAACATTTCACTTATCCAACTATAAGTAGACACACAACACACTCATTTTTTATCCATTCATCCAGTGACGAATGGTTGTTTCTATATCTTGACTATTTTAAGTACTGCTACAGTAAACACGTGGGTGTATATACCTTTTAGAGTTAGTGTTTTCAATTACTTTGGAAAAAGACCCACAAATGAAATTGCTGGATTGTAATAATACTCATGTTTTTGTCTTTTTATTACTGCATAGTACTATCATTTTTACTGCTGCAAGTTAATAATGAAAAAAACAGAAGAGAACGAAATGATTCACTTGCACTAAATGAAGGGCAAATGACAATATGGTTAGCTACAGAAAGGTGGTATTAAAAGGAGCTCAGATAGAAAAATCTTGCTATTATTTAGGCAAGAATGAATTATAGGTACAAAAAACTCAATAAAAGCAGGCAGTAACTGTTTCATAAAAATATATTAGTCATTTGGTGGATTAAAGTTGATTGAAATGACATTGATTTTGTAGTTGTTTGATTATTTTGTTTTATGGTGTGTAACATTTTAAATAGGAAAGTGTCTGTGAAGATGTTTTTCTTTTAACAAATTAATATAGTACTCAAATCCAAGAAACACTGGATTATGCCTTGGTTCTTTACATCACTTCACTGGCACCTAAACAATTTAAACTCCCAAACCAGAATTTTCGGAACAAATCACAAAAAAATTAAATGGAAAACATGGGCTCACCTAGTTTTTATTTGTCAAAGAAGTTTTTATGTTGTGGACATGGCTTTTACTTTTTTTTTTTTTTTTTTAAAATATTTATTTATTTATTTGTACAGAACTGGGGTACAGGCCAGAGATGCGGAGGGTGAGAGGATTCACCAGAGACAGAGCGGGGAGCAGAACAGGCAGATCGACGAAGCACACTGCTGAGGGGAGCAGCGGGTGGGTCAGGAGAGGTCTGCCACACCATGTGGTCACCTCCGGGGCAGGCGGGAATCGAACTCATGCAGAAGTGGCTTTAGCTTCTCAGTGCTTTAACCCGCTGCGCCACCAGGGAGGGCCGGCTTTTACTTTTAAGCCTGAACAAAGTTAAAGTAAATTTGTTTTTAAAGCCTCAGCAGGTACTTAGGATGTTATAATTCCCCCCTGGTTTAATTTAGGTTTTCATCTTCTGTCTCTCTTGATTTTCACACTTCATTTACTTGTAGAAAATAGCTAGCAAACTCTAAGATTTTAAATTAACAACTCATTGTAAAGTATACTTTACAACATTTTCTTTTACATTAGTTTGTGGGATGAAGTACTATAAAATTGTACTTTCTGCAAGTTAGTATTTATATAATAGGGTAAATATTTTATCTATAAGAGTATTTTTTCATTGCAATTCATGTGTAAGGGACAGAACCTGGAGAAAAAGCCAATGATAATTGACTTTTCAAACCCAAATTAGGTAATAAATATTTTGTCTAAGATAATGTATGGCTGATCATCCCCAAAGTAACCCCAGGAAATATGTGTTACTAACAAATTCATCTTTTATAAGAATAAAAATTGTCCATTAAGAAGAATGTCAAATCAAAATGTACAGTGATGGGAACCCTGAACACCTGAGCTAAATAATGGATTGGGAACAAATGGGGATTGAATCTGCCATTTTCTGGTTGCCAAACTTTGAAGATGTTTAATCAACCCCGTTTGAGTTTTAAATTTTTTCTGACTATAAAATAAAACAGTTATTACTGTAAGTAACCCCATTCCTTGCAACACTATTTTAAAGACTAAAATGTGAAAAATTATTGTACAGTGCTTTGTACAGAGCATTTTACTCAATGGAAACAATGTAAGTTGAAGAATGCAATTTCTTTACAAGTTCATGTAAAGAACTTTCAAAATATTGTCACAAATAAAGTATACCAGGTCACTAATTCTCAAACACCTTGATTTCAGGGTCTCTTCTCTTTCTTAAAGTTTACTGAGAATCCCAATGTGCTTTTCTTTTATGTTCATTATAGCTATTGATACTTACCATATTAGAATTTAAACTGAGAAAACATTATGGACATTAATTTAAAGGAACAGTAATAAATTTATCATATGTAAGTATAAATATTTTAAATAAAATAACCTTCCTAAAATAAAAATTTAATGAGTGGCACTGGTTTACATCTTTGCAAACATATTTAATGTCTGTCTTAATTAAAAGAGAGCTGGATTCTTTTATCAGCCTGAAATGTTAATTTTTGCTTTTCTAAGTACATTCAAAGAAGTATAGCAGTCTAAATATTAAATATCTAATAAAGTTGCTTTCACTTTCTTTATTCTTATGTAAATCATTTGTAAACGACTTTAAGTATAAAAAAATAAAGTAGAACTAAAATGGTCCACTGGGCCCATAAAATATAACTATTTTTCTTGATGTGCTGAGATTTAATCAAAGTATTTCTAAAAAGAAAACAGCTTTGCAGAGAGTGAATCCAAAAAATTCTAAACATACATTTTAAATACAAGTTACTAAGTAAAACAAGTCTTTCTGAGTCATTATTTAAGACAACCTGACCAAAATCAAATATTTTCAGGTGCCTCCCTGAGGCAGGGAACCATAACTATTCAGGGTTATAAATTTTAATTAGTGATCATGCCAAATACTTCTGATCCTTGAAAAGTTACTTTTGAAATAGTGAGTGGTCAATATAAATTTCCAATATTTCATGCCTCTAAAACCATGAATTAATTTCTATTTACAAAAATTGGTACTTATTTAGGCATTTCTCCTGTCCACTTAGTGTAACAACAGCAACACATAATTCTGGTGTGGCTACAAATGTCCTCCTGTATAAAGAAAACAAATGGGAAAAAGAAGGTACAGGATTATATATCCTTTTTCCTTTCTTCTACCAAAAACATTGCTGTTATATAGCAAAACTCCAGGCTGAAGAAATGAAACTGGACTAGAGAATTGAACTGGGAGAAATGGGCGGAACAGAGAATTTAAGATACAGAGCCCTTCAATATCAGAACTTTTTTCTGTGGTCCTTTCTTCAACTTCTCAGCATGCTTGGAAATAGCAATATTATTTAAACACTAAAATGCTGAAAAGTTATGTGTGAAAAATAAAAATGTGAAGAAAAAAAGAATTGAAAATATTTCTTAAAAATTTTAGGTGCATTTCTTTGCTTAATCTCCCAGACCACCTCACTCCCATAAAAAATGGGTAATCTGGGGAATTAACCATTGGGTGGAGTCAGAAGACCTAGGTTCAAGAACTAGTTGTATCATTTCCTGAGTTTACTTCCTCACCTTCTGAACTGTCCTATCAACACCTACAGCCCATCTCAAAAGAGCTGATATCCAAGGGACAATTATTGCGGAATCTGTACTCCCGTTAAAGTTAAAGTGTCAACGGTGGGCCCTCCTTCTGCTCTCCCTGGTGGCGCAGCAGGTTTAAAGCACAACACTAAGAAGCTAAAGCCACTTCAGCATGAGTTCGATCCCAGGAGATGATCCACATGGCGAGGCAAACCTCTCCTGATCCGCCTGCTGCTCCCCTCAGCAGTGTACTTGTCACTTGGCTTGTTCTGCTCCCCACTCTGTCTCTGGTGAATCCTCTCACCCACCACACCTCTGGCCTGTACCCCAGTTCTGTATGCATAAATAAATACATCTTTAAAATAAAAAGATCCCCAGATAATTCCAATGTGCAGTTCATTTAGAAATCACTACATTAAAAAAAAAGTGTAAAGGGCACACATCCAAACTTAATTTTATAAGCAAACCAGTGCCTTCGCAGGCTCAGTAAAGCTTCTGCTTAAGGAGACAGTTTGAGTTTTCACAGTAACCCCCAAAGCAGGACAGGGTATCTCACAAATGCTAAGAGGACACTTCTGTAGTTTAAAACTATGGTAGGTTTCAATTTAATGTTGAATAACACTTAAAAATATTAAAATTCACAGCCCAAACCTTAAAACAAAGATAAAAAAGCATTATGTAAGTTCAGATATATTAAAAAGCTAAAAAAATATGTTTGTGAACAAAGAGAATCTCTTGGATGAGGGTCTCTCCCATGCTCGCAAAACCTGGGTTCACTTGACATTTACCTCTTTGATTTATGCTTTCAAAGCATTAAAACTTGAGATAAGAGGAACTCCCGCCCCGTCTAGAGAAGGATAAAACCTCAGAGGGAGGTAAAATTTCCCTTCTCGTTAAGTAAAACCTGCAAAGCAAACTGTTACAAAAAAAAAATGTGTATCCAACTCCACTGTTTCTCCTCAGGGATCTTCTCCTCTAAGACAATAACGGAATAGAGCTAGATTTCCCACACAGAGGAGCGAAGTCCTTTGGCAAGAACAAGGGTTCGAGCATTGAATGACCCCTAACCCGGGTGGGGGAAACCTGGCCAGAAGGAGGGACCCAAGGGGCCTTAAATCTAGAAAGTTCGGAACCATCACCGGTCTCTCCCTTCCTGACTGAAAAAGATCTGGGGGTGGGCGGGTCTCCACAAACATCGGCATCAAATGTACAAAAGACCAAAGGGAGTTGCCTCCAGAAAAGCTCAAACCAGGCAGGGGGCTGAGAAACACAGGCCTTCGGAAGCGACCGCAGTAGTTACGGCGGCGGCGGGGCAGCGACGGCGAACGCGGGCCGGGGGCCGCGGCCTCAGGGCCGCCAACCGAGCCGCGGAGCCGCTAGTTACCTTCCTCGATTCCCCCCCTTACCGAGGTAGGCGCAAAATGGTGGCCCACTCGCCACCGCTCTTTCAAGCCCGTCCCCTCCCCCCGCTCCTCGGGCGAGTCCCGAAAACACGCACCCGGCTCTCGACCCTCACTCCGCGGCCCTCATCGTGAGGCGGCCGTAACCGCCCCCGCGGCGGCCCTCACAGCTAGGAGGCCAAGGCCGGCCGGGCAAGCCACTACACGCTTCCTCGCCGCGCAGTCGAGGGAGGGGACACTTACCGCGAGCAGAGCAGTTCGGCCAGACTGGGACTCCAAGAGGAGGAGAAAGAGGAGGAGCGCGAAAACACTAGGCGGCGGTGACTAAAACCGCGCCGGCCTCGGCGACTCCCAGCGCGGAATGAGCGCCTCAGATTAGGGCAGTAGTATATAACCACGCGCGCGCTGCCTCATGGGTAACGCCAGTTTCTGCCACCGTCCACCCGTTCCCCCCCGCCCCAAATCTCTCCGCACATCCGGGTTTCTTTTCTAACTGACCAGGGAGAGCCGGCGCGGACATGTGCGCGCCTTAAGCGTCCTCGAAGACAGCCCGCTTCGGCTATGGGCCGTGGGTCTCCGGTCAAAGGTTCCCTGTCAGGGCCACTACTTGACAAGCCCACTGTCCAATCCGAGCTATAGTCACGAAACAGGGGCTTCACAGGGTATCTGAGCACATGGAAACATGTATCTGCGTCCCCCCCTCAAGTCACGCCCCCGCCCCCCGCCGCCGGTGTTTCATCGTCACCAATTTTTAAAAATACTGTAGCAGGGAGGTGAAGATAATAAACTAGGTGACTAAAAGGAATAAAGGCCAAATTATTTAAATAATCTGTTGATTTCACTACGTTTGTTTGAATGACCAGTAACCCGGGTCGGGGAAACCTGGCCAAAGGAGGGATCCATGGGGCTCTAAATCTAGAAAGTTCGAAACTGATCGCTTCCTCATCACCGGTCTCTTCCTCTGACTGAAAAAGAATCAGAATTCTTGTTATTCCTAATTATGTCATATAGATGTCTATAAATAACCAAATTGTGAAGAAAAAATACATTTGCAAGAAAAATATGTATAAAGATAACTGCAAAAACATTTTCTAAATATTGGGTTCTGTGGTAAAGTTTCCTCTCCCAATTTTCATCACAAGGTCTATGAAATTAGTGGGTCACTAGTCAAGCTTAAAATCAAATTTTGGACCCTCCATCGTGGTGCAGCGGATTAAAGCACACCACTAAGAAACTAAAGCCACTTGAGCATGAGTTCTATCCCCTCCCCGTGATCCACATGGCTCGGCAGACCTCTCCTGACCTGCCCACTGCTCCCCTCAGCAGTGTACTTCCCGATTTGCCTGTTTTGCTCCCTGCTCTGTCTCTGGTGAAGTCTCTCACTGCCCCTACACCACTGGCCTGTACCCCATTTCTGTATGCATAAACAAATCTTTTAAAAAATCAAATCTCACCTCACTTGTTCCTTAACACATATTAAGTCACCCAGTAATTTAATTTTACCAGTTCTTCCTATTTGAGTTAGTTTTTTTTTCTTTCTCATCTATAACACCCTTTGCTACTGACTTTGAAAATAAGTTTTAAAACAAAGGACAAAGAATAATCAAACTAACAAACATGGAAAGTTAAAACTTCCACAATGTTGGAGCATTCATAGATTTCCCTCCACTTCAGACTAATAGTCCAGTGCCTTCACCTTTGCTGTGGGTGGGAAATTTAAAAGTTGGAAAGCTACAGCACCTATGTGGGAGCTTTTCCTCAGTCCCCCTCCCTAGAGGTCAGAAAGACCCTACACAATCCTCAGCCTTTCTCCCTGGAGCCATCCCTTATCTGTATTTCTCCTCCTTTTTTCTTTATGAGTCCGAGGAGTAGAGAAATTTCTTTCAAATTCCCGTGGTCTAATAATGTCAGAGCTTCCACATCCTAACTATAATTAGGAGTAGGGAGGATCAATCTGTCTCAGGGATGACCAGAAAACATTTATCACCAAAATTCAAATCCAATTTGCTGTTTTCATGGAAAATACAACGGCCAAGAAAACTGTGGTCAGCAAATTTTCTCTAGAGAAAATGTACACAAAAGTCAAATTATAATAAAACAGATGGCTGGTGAGAATAGAATCAGTCTGTGGGAAATTGTTTCTATGATTTGACTACTCAATCCAAAGAATTCCCAAAGAATTCCAAAGGCTTCTAGAAAACTTCTCTCTTAGTTCTCTAATTAATCATGGTTCTTTTTTTGTTAAGGATTTCCATTAAATAAGCATTTACTCCTGTATTACCTTTCTTTTTTTTTAAGATTTATTTATTTATGCATACAAAACCAGGGCACAGGCCAGAGATGCAGGGGGTGAGAGGATCCATCAGAGGCAGAGTGGGGAGCAGAACAAGCAGATCTACCAAGTACACTGCTGAGGGGAGCAGAGGGCCGGTCAGGAGAGGTCTGCCACGCCATGTGGATCACCTAGGGGCAGGCTGGAGATGGAACTAACACCCAAGGGGTTGTAGCCAGCTTGCAGTGCTGTGTCCTTACCCGTTGAGCCACCAAGGAGGGCCCAGTGTTACCTTTCTTGGCAAGTTCTTATTGAAATAAATTCACATAAGAGTTCACCACTTTAAACTGTACAATACAGTGGTTTCTAATATATTAACAATATTATGTAACCATTACCACTATAAAATTACCGAACATTTCCATCATCCCCCAAAGAAACCCCAGGCTTGTTATTAACCACCCCCTATTCTCTTTTGCCCACACCCCCTGGAAATCTAATCAAAAACTTTGTGTCTCTCTACAGATTTGCCTTTTTTGAGCATAGCATATACAATTGTCTCTTGAATAACATGGGTTTGAATTTGGTGGGGCTATTTACATGTGAATTTTCTTGTAAAAAGATAGTGTGAGTCTATGGCATTGATAAATATGGTAAAGTACTGTAAATGTGTTTTCCTGGTTACTTTTATGGTTATCTTATTGCAAGAATACAGTAAATAGCACATGTAACATATACAATGTTAACTGTTACCAGTAAGACTTCTAGTCAGCAGAGGGCCCACTTCTGGGTTCTTAGATGGTGGTCTTCTGGATGTGTTCTCACATGGCAGAAGAGACCTGAGAACTCTCTGGGGTCTCTTTTATATGGGTACTAATCCCATCCATGAGGGGTCCACCCTCATTACCTAATCTCCTCCCAAAGGCACCCACCTCCTAATATCATCCCTTTGGGGTTTAGAATTTAAACCTGTGAATTGGGGGGAGGGCATAAACATCCTGTTTATGATGTCATAGATACATTGTTCAACTGACAAAGTTAGTGGGGTAAATTACTAGCAATATGTGATTCCAGTAAAGGACATAGAGGTGTTATTGGTACAATTGTTGGAACTTTGATAAGTCTGAAACTATTTCCAAAATACAAGTCATAAAAGTTATTCTGGGTGCTTTTATTTCGCTTAGGCCCTGGGCACCTGCAAGGCGGGTGAGTGCCAAATGTTCGCTGGGCTAGGAGAGATTGGAAGGGCACTATAAACATTTAGGTGCTACCCTAATAGGTGCTACTCTAAAGGCCAATACTTTAGCCATGCTGCACTTACGAAGGGAATTGTATTGGGAAAAGTGGGAGTTGAAGCCAAACAACCAAATTCTGCCACAGGGAAGTATGTCAGAGTTCAGCTGATCAAGAAAGGGGAGGGGCGGGTAGTGCCCGCGTGTGGAGGGAGGTGCAGGATGTGAAAGGGGAGGTGTGAGGTGGGGGAGGTGTCGTGGAGGGATGGGCACTGAGAGTATGAGTCCATATTCCATGCTCAGAAAAGATGGCCCCTTGATAACAGGATGCTAGGATGCAGCAAGCACTTGAATAGCAAAGCAGGGTAAGAAAAGTAGATTCTCAGTCTCCTGAGTCATGTTATATTTACTTTGACTAAAACTCCTCTAGATGACTAGTCAAATGAAAATTTCAAAAGATTCTAAACTCAGGTAGAATAATGTGAGTGTTGCATGTATTTTTGGATAGCCTTGATTTCATTGTCCTCCACTGTTTAGTTAAAAAACAACTTAAGCAAAATGGTAAAATTATGAAAGAAGTTTCTCTGATACTCCTTCCTCCTCTATTGCCAACACTCACAAGTGTCCTGAAACTTCATGATGCCCTTTGTGTACCTATGGATGCCCCATTCTCCTTCCAGTGTCTCCCTCTATGTATTTTTAGTCTTATCTTTACCTTAATTTTCTCTAAAATCATACTTACCCCTAACATGATCCTCAAGGACTTGTTCTTTGCATGGCAGCATTGTAACTGATTAATCAGGGATCATGGACTAGTTTTGCTCTTAAAGGGCAGTTGTATACAGGAAAGTATAGCAGTTCTTCTTCCTCGGACACATTGAAAGAACATTTAAAAAAAAATCATTTACCTGCCCAGGCTCCGCCTACACCTGTGGGCCCAGTGACCTTGTGACACACACCTCTTAGAATTTAAATTATTTTCTGTATTAATGGTCTTTGTAGAATAAACTTACACTAAGAATAGGGGGGAAAGACATGAAATGGTAAATTCTAAGGTTAAATTCCAGTTGCACAAATCATTTATACATTATCCTAGAAATGAAGAGAGCATAAGTCCTGTACTACAGTGATGTGGAAAAGCCAATTCACATTTATGTACTTGAAATATGGTGTGCCGTTTATCAATGAATTAACCCTCAGTTCCAAACCGACCCTTCAGTGAAGGTGTTCTGATGGCAAACTAGACTGTCTCCCCCTTACATGAATACGATGTTAAACTTTGTCAGTGGAGAGTGCCGGAGAGATGGTGCACAAAGGAGACTTTTATCCCTGTGCTGATTCCTTTTTTTCTTGCTACCACTGCACAGCCCATCGGTGGTGCCAGTCTGAAAGAGGGGCGTAGGAACGGCACTCTGTTTCAGCCCCAAAGATGGAGGGCACAGTCCTTCAGCAACTTCACAGTCCCAGTCCAGACCTTTACCTTCCTCCTCTATCGCCAGCACACACGAGAGGCCCCAGTAGTAGATTTAATGTGAGATGCCTCTTAGGCTGACAGGTGGGGTGTTGAATAGGCAGAGCTCCGGAGAGGAACTGATTGAAACACCCATTACTTTGCATAAGAGTGCTTAGAGAAAGTTTACATAAGAAAGGGAGAGCCCAAGGGCTGGAGAGCATAACAAAGACTCTGTACAGAACTTTGAGATAGGGCCCTTCCCGGTGGCGCAGGGGTTAAAGACACAGCAGTACCAAGCTTTTGCCAGCCTCTGCAGCAGGCTTTTGATCCTGATCCCCGATTCCTTTGTAGGGAGCGGACGTACACACGGCGCAGCAGACCTCT